CTTAGCAAAAATAGTAGAGCAGTTTGCCATTTCCTTCTCCAGCTCATTTTAAAGATTTAGTGATCTTGTGATCAAACAAGGACACATGAATTACACATTGCAACAGCCTTATGGAACAGGAGGGCCAGTGTTACTTAAGAGTAAAGATTACTGGATTTTGAGTTGGAAGATGTGGGCTCATCTGACTCTAACAATTATTAACTACAATCCTGAACGAGTCATTTAACTTCTCAATTTGCTCCCACAGGGGCATAAGGCACTATATAAAAAATTGAATTATTATCAGGAACATGGTTAGCTTATAAAGTGAACAAGAATCCTATACCCCAACATTAGTCATAAAGGTAGTGTTTCTCTTTTCATTTACTTTATGTAACTATAAATTCATATATTTAGAGCTGGAGGGAACCTTAGAGGCCATTCAGTCTTATTAATCAAAGAATTAACAAGCAATAAAGTACCTGGTATGTGTTAGGGCTCTGAGGAGCTTATAGTCTAAGGGAGGAATGTACATGTACACATTAATATACACAAAATAAAAAGAATCAATGCAAAGTAGTAAGGAAAGGTAAACAATAGCAGTTAGGGGGACTTAATAAAACGATAAAAATTTATTAAGGCTCTACTATATGCCAAGCACTGGAGATACAAAAAGAGTCAGAAGACAGTCCCTTCCCTCAAGGAGAATACAATCTAAGGGGATGAGGAAAGGCTTAATGTACAAAATGGTGCTTCAGTTAGTTCTGAAAGAAGAGAAGGCTTCCCTGAGACAGAGGAAGAGAGAGTGTATTCTAGGCATGGAGAATGGGCAGCATAAAGACAAGGAAACAAGAGCTGGAGTACCACATATAAAGAACAGAGATAAAGCCAGTTTGATTGGATTATAGAGATTAGGAGGAAGAGTGCAATATAATGAAGCTACAAAGATAGGCTGGAGCCCAGTTGTTAAGGGCTTTAAAAACCAGAATAGTAGGGGCAGCTAGGTGGATAGAGCACTGGCCCTGAAGTCAGGAGGACCTGAGTTCAAATTTGGCCTCAGACCAAACCCTTGACACTTACTAGCTGTGTGACCCTGGGCAAGTCACTTAACCCCAATTGCCTAAAAATAAATGAATGAATAACTTAAATAATAAAAAAATAAATAAAAAAACAGAATAGTATATATTTAGTCCTAAGGCAATAGGGAGGCACTGGAGTTAAATGAATAGGGGAGTGACAAGGTCAGATCTGTACCTAAAGTAAATTATTTTGGCAGGTATGGAATAGAGTAAGGTAAAAATTGAGACACAGTGTCAAATCAAAGGCTATTACGATAATCTAGGTGAGAAACAATAAGGACTTGAATTATGATGGTAGTGAGGGTTTGATGGAGCCAGCTAAGATGAGCTCATGATTGTTAAATTTTCAGTGTAACAACTTATACCTTGGAAGTTGGTAAAAACTACAAATTATACTTTGATTTGTTTTGTTGATTGTCTCAACTTAAGAAAGTGATTGGAGAAAATGTTAATAATCTAGATTAAACTTCAAAGCATGTCACGCATATTGGTTTTCCCAGAACACCTGTGATTGGTAGCTACACAAATGAAGATGAATCAAAAAGATGTTGTGGAGATAGAAACATCAAGATTTGACAAATGATTGGTCATGTGGGACTAAGGTGAATGAAAAGATGAAAATAATACCAGAGGGCAAATCTGGAAGAATGGAAGTGATGCCCACAACAAAAGCAGAGAAGAGAGGTGGGTTTTGAGAAAAGAATTAACAGTTCCATTTTGGACATGCTCAGTTTGAGTTGTCTCTGGGATATCCAGTCTGAAATGGCCAACAGGCAGTCAGTAACATAGGAGAACTGGGGTAGGATATATGAATCTGTGAGTCACCAGCTTAGAAATAATTAAACCCACGGAAGCTAATGAGGTCACCAAGAGAGAAAGTGTGGCTAGAAAAAAGAAAAGGGCCAGGACTCAACTTGGGAAATAGGCATAGTGAGACAAGGGCATGATATTTTTGGATGATAAGTCAGCAAAGGAGTGATTAGACATGTAGAAGGAAAAAGAGAAAATTATGCCATGAAAATCCATAGAGAAGACCATATCCAGTAGAAGAGTGTCAAATGCAGCAGAGAAGTCAAGAAGGATAAGAACTGAGGAAAGGCTATTAGATTTGCCAATTTAGACGTCATTGTTAACTTCCTACCAAACAGTTTCAGCTGTTATAAGTTCAGAAGACAAAAGGGTTGAAGAGTGAGTGAGACAAAACGAAGTGGTCAATGAGTATAGACATTTTTTTCTAGGAGTTTGTCAGATAACAAGAGGAGAGATACCTAGAATAATAACTTAAGGAGATGGTAAGATCTAATGAAGATTTGGGGTTTTTTTTAAAGGATAGGGGACACCAGAGCATATTTGAGGGCAATAAGGAAGGAACCAGGAGATAGGGAAAGACTGAACATTGAGAAGGGATATGTTGTGGGAGCATGAAATGTGCTGGAGAAGACTGAAGGGGATGAGATCCAAGACACATGCAAAGAGTTGGCCTTGGGAAGGAGAAATGCCACTTAACTCCTGAAGACTGGAATAAATGAAAAGAAAGTGGGGTATAAAGTCAAGGGGTTTTAGCTGACAAGAAAGGGAGAAAAATCCATGGCAAATGGCCTCAATTATGCCAATAAAATAAGAAATGAGATTTTATCTGAGAGAGAGGAGGAAGAAGAGGTGCAGAAAACTTGGAGATAAAGGGAAGGTTTGGAATAGCTCTTTGTAAAGTGAGACAGAGGGGCAGCTAGGTAGCACAGTGAATAGAGCTCTGGCCTTGGAGTCAGGAAGACCTGAGTTCAAATATAGCCTCAAACACTTAACCCTTACTAGCTGTGTGACCGTGGGCAAGTCACTTAACCCCAATTACCCAAGCAAAAAAAAAAAGGAAAGTGAGACAGGGAATCATTTGGGAAGGAGTAAAAAGATTGTCCTGCTCCAGTAAGCATCCTAGCTGAGGCTAGAGAACATGAATTATAGTGCACTCAGCATAATTGTGTGACTTCCTCCAGGTCTACAGAAACAGGGGAAGCAGATGGTGGGAGTAATCCAGGGCATGGTTTAGCAAGGGGTGAGCCATTTCTTCATTTTAGAGAGATTGAATATCAAATCCTTACTCTTTAAAATAGCCTCCCAAAGCTTTCTCTCCTAGTCTCACTACAAAGGGAAAGGATTCCAAATAGATGTTTTAAGATGATTTGATCTTTTGTTGACCAACATGGGAAGCCTGTTTAACACCCATTGAGTCCCTCACTCTGTTATTTTATTGGCACAACTGAGGCCATTTGCCATGGATTTTTCTCCCTTTCTTGTCACCTAAAACCCCTTGACTTTATACCCCACTTTCTTTTCATTTATTCCAGTCTTCAGGAGTTAAGTGGCATTTCTCCTTCCCAAGGCCAATGCTTCCTGGTAGCCCACTCATGATGCATGATGCTAAAACAGATTGAAAAATAGAAATAAACAAGCTGATTTATCAAAGCTTTCCAGAATTGAAATGTTTTCTCTCACTCCAGGGAATGTTTTCCAAAGTCTCTAAGACTCCTGTCCATGGTATTATGCTGATATGGAAGCAGGATGTCGTTGCTATTAAGAACTATTTTAGTTACAGGAGGACCCAGAATAACTCTGGCACATCCTGTGCATTGTTAGCATGTCATGAAAGCATCTGCTTCTCCATGATCACACATGTGCATGTTTCACTATCCTGCTTTCATTCAAATTCCCAGCTTTAAGCAACTTCAGTTGGAAGCCACTGAGTCGGCAAATGACTCAGTAGAAGAGGCACCAATCTGACCTTGGTCAGAACATAGCCGATACACACCTACAGTCACAGCCCTTATAAGTTTTAATGACATGCAGAGTAATTAAAATGACATCCTTTAGTAGAGCAATCAGTGTTCCACAGATTCTATCCCATTTATTTTTGTTTTGCTTGCCTTTTTGGACTAAACCTGTGATTTCACTGGCATAAGGATCTCCAGTGAGAAACTTCCAATACCAATATTGATCTGAATCTTCTCCGCAACCTGGAATTGTAGCAAGTTATCTGAATCTCAGGGAAGTTACATGACTGTTACAAGGGCACCCAGCCAGCACGTGGCAGAGGCATCTCTCTGTCCACTACACCATGCTGCTCATCTCTAATTTACTTTTGAACCTAATGTCACTCTTTAAGCTTACTAGATAGGAAGCGGCTGAGTGGCTCAGTGGATAGAGTTTTGGGGCTGAAGTCAGGAAGACCTGTGTTCAAATCCAGCCACAGACACTGGGAAAGGCACTTAACCTCTGTTTGCCTTAATCTACTGGAGAAGGAAATGGCAAATCACTCCAGTATCTTTGCCAAGACAATGCCAATGGATAGTATGGTTCACAGGGTCACAAAGAGCTGGACATAACTGAACAACAAAAATGCTTCCTAGAACAAGTTAATGAGAGGAACTAATGGCATATGTTGGAATTTTTCCTTCAAAATGACTATGTAAAGCAAGGATTATTGAAGAAGGGTCATTATACTTATCTACAATATAAACATGTATGTTATATATACATATATAATTGTATGTATAATTTATACATATATTTTATATAATGTTTATGTCTCTTTCATGTTTGCAAATATAGCTTACATGTTAGCTCATTTGGTCTTCAAAACAACCCTGTAGGTGCTATGATCGTCCCCATTTTACAGATAAGGTAACTGAGATTGAAGGAGGCTAACTAAGTTTCCCAGGATCACAGAGGTAGCAAAGGCATGAGAGAGGATTTGAAATCAATTCTTCCTGAATTCAAGTCCAGAACTCTATTCACTGTGCTAACTGGCTGTCTCACACACAAGACCTCACAAAATACTCGGGATTAAATAACCCTATGAAGATTGCAGTTTGAGCTCCCATACCAGTAGAGGGTTTTCCCCCTGGAGCTAAACATGCTGTAAGCTCATTTCAAAGCCAGAAACTTTACCTTTAATGTGCTATTCAACGTCCGGATTTTGTGGAGTTTCTCATTGATGGATGGATTTTTGCTTCGCTTGACAAATGACTTCCTCAACTCCTTTTTGGTTGAAGGTCGTCGATCCCCAATAGGAGATAAACTGGCTTGTTCCAGAGATTTGTAAAGCTTTTCCATTTCATCATCTTCAAGGCCTTTTGTCTGTTCTATAAAGAAAAACAATTATCACAGGGAATCACTAATTTGGAGAGTAGAAAAGGACCTCACAAACCATCTCCTCCAATCGATATAGCATATCACCACTATGACAAATGTGACAGATGATTGTCTAGACTCTGTCTGAACACTTCTCAGGAAAAAGAAGCAATCATTTCTTGAGGCAGCCCATTCCACCTTTAAAGTATTAGGAAGTTTTTTCTGATATCAAACCCAAACTGGACTCTGTAATTTCCACTACTCTTAGTTCTAACCTCTAAGGCCATACAGAAAAAAAACAAAACAAAATAAAAACTAATCCTTCCTCAGCATGGCAACCCATTCAAATACCTGAAGACAATTATCATTTCCCTCCCGAGTCTTCTTCAAGCTAAACACCAGTTCCCTCAATGAACTATCATACAAAGGGGAAGGGGGAGGAGCAATAAACATTTATAAAATACCTACAAAGTAGTGGCTGCTAAGATCTTTACAAATATTATCTCATTTGATCCTCACAACAACCCTTTGAGGTAGGTGCTGTTATTATCCCCATTTCACAATGGGGAAGTTGAGACAAATAGAGATTGTTACTTGCCCAGGGTCACACAGCTAGTCAGTGTCTAAGGCCACATATAGGCTTTGTTGCTGGTGGTGGTTTTTAAATGCACTATATTTTTCCCTTAAAGTCTTCTTTCACACTTAATAGTATTTTATCTTTCCCAATTACATGTAAATATAGTTTTCGATATCTACTTTCACAAGATTCTGAGTTCCAAAATTTTTTCTCTTTCCCTTCCCTTCCCCCATCCCCAAGACAGCATGCAATCTGATATAGGTTGTACATGTACAATCATATTAAACGTATTTCCACATGAGTCACATTATGAAAGAAGAATCAGAACAACAGGGGAGAACCACAAGAAAGAAAAAAGAAAAGAAAAGAAATACTTCAGTCTGCATACAGACTCCAGAGTTCTTTGTCTAGATGTGGATAGTATTTTCCATCATGAGTTTTTTGGAATTGTCTTGGATCATCACATTGCTGAGAAGAGCCAAGTCTATTAAAGTTGGTCATCGTGTACAACATTCTCCTGGTTCTGCTCACTTCAATCCAACATCGGTTCACTCAAATCTTTCCAGGTTTTTCTGAAATCTGCCTGCTTATCATTTCTTACAGCACAATAGAATTCCATTACATTCATATACCACAACTTGTTCAGCCATTCCCCAACTGATGAGTATCCCCTCAATTTCCAATTCTTGGCTACCACAAAAAAAGCAGCTATATATATAGATAGATATATAGATATATAGATATATAGATTTTAGTACATATAGGTCCTTTTCTCTTTTTTATGATCTCTTTGTGACATGGACCTAGTACTGCTATTTCTGGATCAAAGGGTATGCACAGTTTGCATACTTCCAAATTGCTCTCCAGAATGACTGGATCAGTTCACAACTCCACCAACAATGCATTAGTGTTCCAATTTTCCCACATCTTCTCCAATATTTATCATTGTCCTGTTTTGTCATATTAGTCATGTTGATAGGTATGAGGTGGTACCTCAGAGTTGTTTTACTTTCCATTTCTCTAATCAACAGTGATTTGGAGCATTTTTTTCATATGACTATAGAGAGTTTTCTTCATCTAAAATTCCCTATTCATATCCTTCCATTTATCAGCTGAGGAATGATTTGTATTCCATAAATTTGACTCGGTTTTCTATATATTTTAGAAATAGAGCCTTTATCAGACCCTGGCTATAAAAATTGTTTCCCAGCTTTCTGCTTCCCTTCTAATCTTGGTTGCATTGACTTTGTTTGTGCAAAAACTTTTTAATTTAATGTAACCAAAATTATCCATTTTGCATTTCATAATGTTCTCTATCTCTTGTTTGGTCATAAATTCTTTCTAAGGCCACATTTGAACTCAGGTCTTCCTGACTCCAAGCCTAGTGCCCTATCCAGGCCTAACCTGCCTAGGATTTATCTATCATTCATACTGATAAAATACCAAATCTTTTGAATAATTTAATCTTTTGACAAAAAGAACTCATAAAATTACTAAGCACTGAAATCTCTTTGAAATAGAGGTTGTGCAACACCTCTCTAGGAAGCTCATAAAAATAGGAAATGGTGCTGGGCATACAGTGGACATACAATATATATTTGCTGATTGATTCTCATCATCCTGGGATGAGTATTGTCTGAGAGCAGAGGAGAGAAATTCAGTAAGTGATCTTGTAAGGTCCCTTCCAATTAGAGCTAACCTCACAAATCAGGAAACTATCAAACATGTTAAGATTCTCAAGGCTATCCTCAAAATAGCTATCTTACCTGATAATGCCTAAAATTTTGCCTCAGCTTCCTTTAACTTACAGTACTAATACCTACTTAATTCAAATATTTGATTAAAGTGTTACCACCATGTAAATAAGTTTCATGTGCTTTCATAAAAGCAGGTTTTGATAGGGGGCAGTGGATGAGGGCACTGTGCCTTAGACAGAAATGGTGAGAAGGCTTCATCAAGAGACAGGAAAGGAGCCTGAAGACATTAGAGACAGATATAATATTCCTATTTTATAACTTGGTTAAGAGTAGTCCCTCTTCCAAGCCTTTGACTCTATGAATTTTTATTCAAGAACATGATATTTTCAAGAAAAAAATGTTTGACCTAAGAAAATTAATTACAAATGTTCTCATCATTTTCTTTTAAATCAAGAAAATAGATACTGTGCTCGCATTACAATGGTTCTTAATTCTCCAAATGAAACTTAATTGCCAAGGGTATTGGTTAGCCCTGAATACTTTGTTCTTAACAGTTTTGGAAGAACAATGCCAGAAAACTCCATTCAAAGCTACATGTGGGCACAATTAGCCTTTCTGACTGGGCCCGTGCGCATGCAACACAAGAGAGATTTTGTGCAACTGTCATCACAATGGATGAGATCAACAAGGCAGAAGTAACAAGTCACGACAACCATCTCAGAGTTAGGTTAAGAATGTAAGAATGTTAGAATCATAGGCTTTCTGAGTTGGAAAGAAAGTCTGAGGCCACAGAGTCTAATCTGTAACTAAACAGGAATACTCTCTCCAATTTACATGGCAGCTGGTCATCTAGTCTTTGCTTGAAGGCATTCCTCACTTTTGTATAACTATATCCTAGGCAACTAGGCCTGGAGCACTGGGCCTAGATTTAGGAAGACCTAGGTTTAAATCTGGCCTAGCCGTGTGATCCTAGGTAAGTCATTTGATCTCTGTTTGCCTTAGTTTCCTCAACTGAAGTACTTAAAAAATCCTTCCTTCCTTTGTGCATCCTTCCTTCCTTCATTCTGTTCATCCTTCCATCCTTCCTTCCTTATTTTTAAGGATGTTTTTCACTCCTGGAGAGGTAGAGTGGTGTAATGAATAGTGTTCTGGGTTTAGGATCAGGAAGACTAGAACGTATTTTGCCTCAGATACTTTTTAGCTGTTTGACCATTAAAAAATCACTCAACCTTTATCAAGCCCAGTTTCCTCATCTCTGGCCTGTAAAGTCCCATCCAGATCTAAATTTATGACACTATAATTTTGTCTCTCTGCACCTTACACCCACTCCTGTCATCTAGGGGCTAAACATAACATCTCCATTCTACACAGTAGGCCTTCAAATACTTGAAGACAGATACTATGTTCCCTGTAACTCTTCTCTTCCCCAGACTAAATATCTATGGTCTCTTCAATCAATCTTCATATGAAATGAAAACTATATGGAATGGCTTTGGGTCCCAAAATCATTCTGGTCTCCCTCTTCTGGATGATCTCCAACATGTCCATGTGCTTCCTAAAATGTGGTAAACAAATCTCAACATGGGATTTCAAATGCTGTCTGATCAAAGCAGAGTTCAACGGCACTGTTGCCATCCTAGACCTGGACACGGCTTTTCCAAATTCAGCCTAAGATCATCTTAGCTTGAGCTTTCAGTCCACTAAGCTTTCAAGACTTTTTTCAACTCTCAGGTGGATCAGAAGAAAAAGTGTCTCAAAATTAGAAGAGGTTTTGGACTTAGGACTATGGCTCTAGGATTTTCAGATGTCCTGGGGAAGGGAGGCAGACAAGCATTTATTAAGCATCTACTATGTGCCAGGTATAGGCTTTAAAAATATTATCTCATTTGATCCTCACAAAAATCCTGAGAAGTAGGTACTGTTATTATAGTTTTATAGTTGAGGAAACTGAAGCAAAGTAAGTGACTTGTCCAGGGTCACACAGCTAATAAGTATCTGGGGTGGTGGTGGCGAGATTTGAACTCAGAACCCCATGCCCAGTGTTCTATCCACTGTATCATCTAACTGCTTCCTAAGGAATTTGTATTTTTGTGATACTTTTAAGTAGTTTGGTAGTTGTACTTTAATGTTAATAAGGGTAACTATATAGCTCATGACTTGAGTGTTTTACTAAGTACTGTAGTTTAACAACTTGCAGAAAGCAAATGGGAAAAGAAAAATTCTGCATAATAAGAAAAACAAATTGCAATAATTTCCTCTAAAAATCTCTGTTGTCACATGATCATAAAATCCTGGGGTTCGAAGGAGCCTTAGAAATCATCTAGTTAAAATATTACTTCCCTCTGTAACATTCCCCAGAATTGGTTGTCCAGCTCCACTTAAGAAACTCTGGTGATAGTTAAAGGAGCCCAAATGACTTTCTAGACAGTTTTGTTATTAAAACACACACATACACACACACACACACACACACACACACACAATCTTTCATTAAGATCTACTGCTTTATAAACCTCCATCAGATGCTCCTACTTCTGTCAACTGTCAGCTGCTCTCTCCAAAATTTAATGATCTCTTAGTTGCCAAATCTAATAGCCTTTTCTCTATCTTCAGCCTTCTAGAGCTATCTGCAGTATCTGGCATTGTCAATCACTGTTGCTTCTTGGACACTCTCTTCTCTCTAGGGTTTTGTGACAGTGATCTCTCCTGGTTTTCCTTGTCCCTGTCTGACCTCTCT